TTTAAAATATAACATATATTAAGTTTTTCATATATAATCAATCAATTCTAATTTTATACAACATCAACCAAATATTTCATATACCTATAAATCTAAAAATTAAATAATTTTAATTACATAAATATCTTAATGGAGCAAATTACTAAAGCTTAATCTTCCAAATCTTCCTGAATCTTCTAAATTTGAAAATAAAAATAAAAATTAATAATAAGAATAAAATAAAATAAAATGTAAAAAGAAAGAGGAAGAAGGAAGAATGTAAAATCTAAGAATATAACATTTACCTGTGAAGCAGTGAAGGAGGCGACCCAGTATATAAACTACGGGTCAAGAATCCATATACATCTAACAACATATTAACAGAATATCTCAAATAATACGTATTAAGCAAAAGAAACAACTAAATAAAATTATAAGTGATAATGTTCATACAAAGTTTAAAATTATTTATAAGATTATAAATTTCATCTTATTTCTAGATATTAAATTTATTTAAATATGTAATTAGTTATTATTTATTAATTTCTTAAAAAATTAATATCACGTGCATTGCACCTGTCCAAATTATTTCAAGAATTGAAATTACATTTTCGAGAATGAAACAATGAAAATGCAACAATCCTATGATTTGTTTTAAGTTTTTAAAAATTATTCTCAAATATTATTTATTTTCAAAAATATTGTTTGCACATATAAAATATTTTTAATAATTTTTAAATTAAATAAATAGGTATTTATTCTAAAAAATTAATTTTTATTAAAAAAATATTATTTTTAAAAATAATAATCTAAGAAATATGATTCTAAGAAATGTTTTTCTATAACTTAAAACAAACACCTTTATAAGTAGGTGTGCGAGTAACAATAGATGGATCGTTTCTTAGTAAAATGAGAGCACTTTATATATAAACACAACTTTGTCGGTGGCTACTTAAGGTTTAATTCCAATTAGAATAAGCTATGGCGCTTCATCCGCTGCGCAAGCCCAATTTAGCATCTTCAGCGATCATTCCCGACGAGCTGATGGAAGAAATATTCTCTCGGCTCTCCGTGAAAAATCTTATGCAATTGAGGTGCGTCAACAAGTTTTTCAAAACTCTCATCTCCAATCCTTAATTTTTTCTATTTACAATTTTGTTTACTAAAAACATTTTTAAAAATTCTGTTTTTTCTAATATATTTTGTTTTAAAAATATAATACATATTTTAAAATGTAATATATAATTTATTTTTCATATATAATCAATAACTAAAAATATAATATATATTCTATTTTTAATAAAAATAACATATTTAAATACAACAACAACAACCAAATATTTTATATACAATATTATTCGTATATAATTAATATTATTCACATTTAAAATATAACATATATTAAGTTTTTCATATATAATCAATCAATTCTAATTTTATACAACATCAACCAAATATTTCATATACCTATAAATCTAAAAATTAAATAATTTTAATTACATAAATATCTTAATGGAGCAAATTACTAAAGCTTAATCTTCCAAATCTTCCTGAATCTTCTAAATTTGAAAATAAAAATAAAAATTAATAATAAGAATAAAATAAAATAAAATGTAAAAAGAAAGAGGAAGAAGGAAGAATGTAAAATCTAAGAATATAACATTTACCTGTGAAGCAGTGAAGGAGGCGACCCAGTATATAAACTACGGGTCAAGAATCCATATACATCTAACAACATATTAACAGAATATCTCAAATAATACGTATTAAGCAAAAGAAACAACTAAATAAAATTATAAGTGATAATGTTCATACAAAGTTTAAAATTATTTATAAGATTATAAATTTCATCTTATTTCTAGATATTAAATTTATTTAAATATGTAATTAGTTATTATTTATTAATTTCTTAAAAAATTAATATCACGTGCATTGCACCTGTCCAAATTATTTCAAGAATTGAAATTACATTTTCGAGAATGAAACAATGAAAATGCAACAATCCTATGATTTGTTTTAAGTTTTTAAAAATTATTCTCAAATATTATTTATTTTCAAAAATATTGTTTGCACATATAAAATATTTTTAATAATTTTTAAATTAAATAAATAGGTATTTATTCTAAAAAATTAATTTTTATTAAAAAAATATTATTTTTAAAAATAATAATCTAAGAAATATGATTCTAAGAAATGTTTTTCTATAACTTAAAACAAACACCTTTATAAGTAGGTGTGCGAGTAACAATAGATGGATCGTTTCTTAGTAAAATGAGAGCACTTTATATATAAACACAACTTTGTCGGTGGCTACTTAGGGTTTAATTCCAATTAGAATAAGCTATGGCGCTTCATCCGCTGCGCAAGCCCAATTTAGCATCTTCAGCGATCCTTCCCGACGAGCTGATGGAAGAAATATTCTCTCGGCTCTCCGTGAAAAATCTTATGCAATTGAGGTGCGTCAACAAGTTTTTCAAAACTCTCATCTCCAATCCTTAATTTTTTCTATTTACAATTTTGTTTACTAAAAACATTTTTAAAAATTCTGTTTTTTCTAATATATTTTGTTTTAAAAATATAATACATATTTTAAAATGTAATATATAATTTATTTTTCATATATAATCAATAACTAAAAATATAATATATATTCTATTTTTAATAAAAATAACATATTTAAATACAACAACAACAACCAAATATTTTATATACAATATTATTCGTATATAATTAATATTATTCACATTTAAAATATAACATATATTAAGTTTTTCATATATAATCAATCAATTCTAATTTTATACAACATCAACCAAATATTTCATATACCTATAAATCTAAAAATTAAATAATTTTAATTACATAAATATCTTAATGGAGCAAATTACTAAAGCTTAATCTTCCAAATCTTCCTGAATCTTCTAAATTTGAAAATAAAAATAAAAATTAATAATAAGAATAAAATAAAATAAAATGTAAAAAGAAAGAGGAAGAAGGAAGAATGTAAAATCTAAGAATATAACATTTACCTGTGAAGCAGTGAAGGAGGCGACCCAGTATATAAACTACGGGTCAAGAATCCATATACATCTAACAACATATTAACATAGTATCTCAAATAATACGCATTAAGTAAAAGAAACAACTAAATAAAATTATAAGTGATAATGTTCATACAAAGTTTAAAATTATTTATAAGATTATAAATTTCATTTTATTTCTAGATATTTAATTTATTTAAATACGTAATTAGTTATTATTTATTAATTTCTTAGAAAATTAATTTCACGTCAAATTGTTTCAAGAATTGAAATTACATTTTCGATAATGTAACAATGGAAATGCAACAATCCTATGATTTGTTTCAAGTTTTTAAAAATTATTCTCAAATATTATTTATTTTCAAAAATACTGTTTGCACATATAAAATATTTTTAATAATTTTTAAATTAAATAAATAGGTAATCATTCTAAAAAAATTTATTTTTAAAAATAATAATCTAAGAAATATGATTCTAAGAAATGTTTTTCTATAACTTAAAACAAACACCTTTATAAGTAGGTGTGCGAGTAACAATAGATGGATCGTTTCTGAGTAAAATGAAAGCACTTTATATATAAACACAACTTTGTCGGTGGCTGCTTAGGGTTTAATTCCAATTAGAATAAGCTATGGCGCTTCATCCGCTGCGCAAGCCCAATTTAGTATCTTCAGCGAAAATTCCCGACGAGCTGATGGAAGAAATATTCTCTCGGCTCTCTGTGAAAAATCTTATGCAATTGAGGTGCGTCAACAAGTTTTTCAAAACTCTCATCTCCAATCCTTAATTTTTTCTATTTATAATTTTGTTTACTAAAAACATTTTTATAAATTCTGTTTTTTCTAATATAATATATATTTTGTTTTAAAAATATAATACATATTCTAAAATATAATATATAATTTATTTTTCATATATAATCAATAACTAAAAATATAATATATATTCTATTTTTAATAAAAATAACATATTTAAATACAACAACATCACTAACGAAATATTTTATATACAATATTATTCGTATATAATCAATATTATTCACATTTAAAATATAACATATATTAAGTTTTTCATATATAATCAATCAATTCTAATTTTATACAACATCAACCAAATATTTCATATATCTATAAATCTAAAAATTAAATAATTTTAATTACATAAATATCTCAATGGAGCAAATTACTAAAGCTTAATCTTCCAAATCTTCCTGAATCTTCTGAATTTGAAAATAAAAATAAAAATTAATAATAAGAAAAAAATAAAATAAAATGTAAAAAGAAAGAGAAAGAAGGAAGAATGTAAAATCTAAGAATATAACATTTACCTGTGAAGCAGTGAAGAAGGCGACTCAGTACATAAACTACGGGCCAAGAATCCATATACATCTAACAACATATTAACATAGTATCTCAAATAATACGCATTAAGTAAAAGAAACAACTAAATAAAATTATAAGTGATAATGTTCATGCAAAGTTTAAAATTATTTATAAAATTATAAATTTTATTTTATTTCTAGATATTAAATTTATTTAAATATGTAATTAGTTATTATTTATTAATTTCTTAAAAAATTAATTTCACGTCAAATTATTTCAAGAATTGAAATTACATTTTCGACAATGTAACAATGGAAATGCAACAATCCTATAATTTGTTTCAAGTTTTTAAAAATTATTCTCAAATATTATTTATTTTTCAAAATATTGTTTGTACATATAAAATATTTTTTATATAGTTTTTAAATTAAATAAACATATAATCATTAAAAAAAATTAATTTTTATTAAAAAAATTATTATTTTTAAAAATAATAATCTAAAAAATATGATTCTAAAAAAATATTTTTGTATAAGTTAAAACAAACAAGTAGGTATGTGAGTTACAGTAGATTGATGCTTTATATATAAACACAACTTTGTAGGTGGCTGCTTAGGGTTTCATTTCAATTAGGGTTTCATTCCAATTAGAATAAGCTATGGCACTTCATCCGCTGCGCAAACCCAATTTAGCATCTTCAGCTATCCTTCCCGACGAGCTGATGGAAGAAATATTCTCTCGGCTCTCCGTGAAAAATCTTATACAATTGAAGTGCGTCAGCAAGTTTTTCAAAACTCTCATCTCCAATCCTTACTTCGTTAAAATTCATCTCAAAAAATCAGCACGAACACCTAACCTCGCACTTATGTGGCAAAACAACTGGAAGGATGATGAGACCAATTTCGTTAGTCAATCCGTTCCTCGTTTACTCCAAAACCAATTTAACTCCTTTCACAATGATCCTTCCTACCTATTGAGCGATTTTGTTCGGATAGACCGAGTTGTTGGTTCGTGCAATGGATTGCTATGCTTGATTGGTTCATATTCTTCACAAGATGAATGGCTTTGTTTCTGGAACCCAGCTATGAGAACAAAATCTGAAAACTTTAGACTACTATTTTCCGATCTTTTTTTTCGCCGCCGTGAATTTAAGTTCTCTTTTGGTTATGATATTTTGAATGAAACTTATAAGGTGGTAGCCTTCATGGTGGAGATAGAGCTTGGTGGTAATCTGAAAAGTGTAGTGAAAGTTTTCAGCTCGGGGGATAATTCATGGAGAGATATTCAATGTTTACCTGTGATTCCACTTTATTGGTTTGATGTTTGTAACAACAAAGATGTGTATTTGAATGGTACTATTAACTGGCTGGCATATTGCAATCATCAAGATTTTAATTTGGTGGGTGTTATTGAAAATTATGTAATCCTTTCGCTAGATCTCTCCACCGAGTCATACACTCAGATGACGTTGCCTCCGGGTTTTGACAAGGGGCCGCATGTTCGGGCAAATATTGTGGTTTTGATGAATTTTCTTTGTTTCTGTCGTGATTTAGAGAGAAAGCATTTTGTTATATGGCAGATGAAAGAATTCGGAGTTCAAGAGTCTTGGGTTCAGTTATTTAAAATTAGTTATCAGAATTTCTATTCAACCACCAGTGATTTATTTCATACTCCGCTGGCGGATTTGTTGCCGATACACCTTTGTGAGAATGGTTATACTTTGATATTGACAAATCATCATAAGGAACCGGCATTTATATGTGATTGCAGAGATGATACAGTAGAGCGAATAAGAACTATCGAAATGATGGGGTGGTTTTGGGCTAAGGATCACATTGAAAGTTTGGTTCCACCCTGTAGAAAGTGAGTTTTTAATTATGTTACTTTTGTGCTTATTACAAGTTTTTTTATTTTTATTTTTACAAAGTGCTTATTACAAGTTTGAAAATGATATTTTCTTAAAGTAAATTGTAGTTAGATTTCTGATATTAGTAAGCCCCTGTAGTTTAATTTGCTACATCATAGAGATTATTAGTGATTGTGTGTTCACTAGTAACAGTGAGTCAGTGACTAGTCTAAAATGATGAGAACATAATGAGTTTCAATTTTATGGTCTTATTATCACACAAACTTTTGCATATATTATTTGAAAATTATGAAAAGAGAAGCACGGAAAGGGGTTGATGCAATTGAAGATGTTGAAGCAACATGCCAAAGAATGATTTTCAATCAATTAGAATGTCTTATTTATTGGAAATTCAATTAAAATTTATGGAGAATTTCATTCAATTAATTTTAATCATAAGATTGTTTCAACTCACGTAATGATAATGAAAGAAAAGTTTAGAAAGAAAGTAAACGTTATAGAAGAACAAGATGAACATTTTTTTGCAGAGAACTCTCTGCCCACAAACTGTGGCAATTCTGTTATTTTACTTGCAACTGCAAATGGTGGCAATTCTGTTATTTCACTTGCAATTGCAAACTATGAATTACAAAATATGATGAGACGAAATGGTTACAAAATAAGGGTTTCTACCTATATATAGAGTTAAGTTAGCTTGCACCCTAAGGCAAAGGCCAAATATATATATATATATATATATATATATATATATATATATATATATATATATATATATATATATATATATATATATATATATATATATATATATATATATATATATATATATATATATATATATATATATATATATATATATATATATATATATATATATATATATATATATATATATAATCTAAACTTTTTAAATTAAATATGATCTTTTTAAATTAAATCTAATTATTCTAAAACAATAAATTATATATTTAATACGCTATCTAATTTATTGTATCTAAACTATCTAGATTCATCATAGACCTTAGCATTTTGAACACTTCGACTGACACTTCCTTCGTCATGATGTCTGCAAATTTGATTCTCAGTTCTGTAGTGTTCCAAATTTATCTTCACTTCTGCTACCTGCTCTCGAAGATAGTGGAACCTCATCAAGCTTGCTTCAACTGTGTGCTATGGATTCTTCGCAAAGTTGATAGCTGACATGCTATCGATTGTCATGGTAATTGCTCCATGACTCTTCGTTGTGATCTCTTCGACCATGTTCACCGTCCAGGTTATTTGACATGTTCACCGTCCAAGCAACTGGTGCAAAAACTTCGTCGAAGTCGATTCCTTCCTTCTGAAGAAATTCTTTCGCCGCAATTCTTGCCTTGTGTCGAGTTACTTTTCCTTTAGGATTCACCTTCACCTTGTAAACCCACTTCACATCAATTGTCTTCTTTCCTTGAGGAAATTCGACAAGTGACTAGGTGTTGTTGACTTCGATTGAGTCTAACTCCTCATTCATTACTTTCACCCACTTCGAATCTTTTAATGCCTCAGCTGCATTGACTGGTTTGACATCTGCGTAGAAAGCATAATGTACCAGCTCACCTTCTTCATCGATGTTAGATGCCCACATTATGTGAAATGCTCTTGGTCCCTGAGCTATCAAATGTGGGCATCTTTCGCTCCTTTTTTGTCTAATTTGTGTTCAAAACCACCTTGCTTTTGTTGATATGCAACATTATGTGAAATGCTCTTGGTCCCTTTAATTTGTGTGTTATTGTGCAGTATTTAAGCATGAAAGAATAGAATTTGAAGACACAAGAAAGATGAAAAAGGAATCAAGAAAGAAGAAGAGCAAAAGCATGTTCGCTAGGTGAACTCCTGGCGAGTGAAGCAGCGAGCTGTTCGCTAGGCGAGCTCGTAGCGAGCTGCTAGCAAACACTCCCAGACTTGGGCAGAATCAAATTGGCATCATTCGCTGGAAGCGAGGAAGGTGCCGAAGAACTCGCTAGGCGAGCACTTAGCGAGCAAGTAGCGAGCAAGTAGCGAAGCATTCCAGAATCAAATCCTCAGTCCTTGCTAGCATGTTCGCTAGGCGAGGCTGTAGCGAGCGTTCATTGTGAGCTTGCTAAGCGAGCAAGGTCGCGAGCGTGACAGCAAAGCAACTTTTTCTATAAGTAGCAATGTGTACTTTTTGAGAACATATCATATTTTCACTAGTTCTATTCTAAAGCAGATTTTTTGTGCCCTAGAAACCCAATATCTCTCATTTCTTCATCTCTTAACATTATTCTACAAAAAGAAGGTAGATTCTCATCCAAGTTGGATTCTTCGACTCGGATGTTCATCAACCTTCTTCCGAAACTTCTTGTGCAAGCTACCATGAAAAATGAGTGGCTAAGTTCTTCATTTTGTCAAGGTTAGATGTAGGTGATCATTAAGCTTTGTATGTATATGGGATGATCTTCATTTGTAAACTCTTTGATGATGAATATATGGTGAAAACCTTGCTTTATTTATATCTCTTTGTGTTGGTTTATGATTGAAAGATGTTTTCCAACTCTTGACCTAGGTTTTCACCCATCTATTTTCTTAAGCTAGAAATAGTTTTGAATGTGGTTGTTCATGAAAATGTTAAACCTAAATGTTGTCATTTTGATAGATTGTGTGAGAAATCAACAATGGATCAAAATGGGAAAATCACAATGTGAGTTAGAAATAATCACATTGGGAGGATATTGTGAATGTGTTTATCATCTAAAAGAGTTTATGCATTTTGTTGATCGAACATATACATGCAAAGTGATTGCCGAACCCTAACTTTGACAATCTTTATTAAATCGTAAAACCAATCTTTTACCGTAATTTCTTACTTTTATGCAAGCTACCGTGACTAAAAACCAAACCCCTTTTATTACTTTAAAGTTAAGAACTTGACAACTGTCGAACGACGACAATATCTCATATTCTCTGTGGAGACGATAACAAAAACCCGATACTCTATCATTGTTCTAACAATCGACCACATCATCTGATGTAATCACAAATTCTTGCAACCTTGCAGGCATATGTCTTCTTCGTCGAGGTCTGCTTGGGCCAGTTTCATCTATAACTTGTTCTTGTCGAACTTCACTTTCAACTTTAGTGGCTGGTTCTTCATAAGAGATTCTCACTAAATCCTCCTTGACATTCTTAGTCCAATCCCATTCTTTAAGCTCATTTATTAACACGTCCCTGCTGATCACTACCTGCTTATTCACTGGGTCGAACAATTTGTAACCTCCAGTTGAATGATATCCTATCAAGATCATCTGATTCGACTTATCATCAAGCTTCCTTTTCAACTGACCTGGCACATGTCTATGTATTATAGATCCAAAAACCTTCAAGTGTCTGAGGCTAGGCTTGACACTAGACCAACTTTCTTCTAGTGTGATTCCTTCAAGCTTCTTCGTCGGACATCTATTTAATATGTATGTTGCTGTCAAACTCACTTCTCCCCATAATTCTTTAGGTAGATGCTTTCCATTCAACATACTTTTCACCATATTCATGATGGTTCTGTTCTTTCTTTCTGCAATTCCATTTTTCTGTGGAGTGTAGGGTGACACCATCTCATGCACAATCCCTTCTTTTTCACATGATTTGTAACGCCCCAATTCTGAATTCCCATTTTTATTGAGTCCTTATTTGATTTATTTGAGCGTTTATTATTTAATGTGGAATTTATGTGTTAAATACGTTATGTTTGCATATTGTGCTATTTTTACCGATTTTGAGAGTTTCGGGTAAAAGTAGGTTGGAGGGTATTTTGGGCATTAGTGATGATGTTGAGTGAATATTTTTATGAGAATGATTAGTAAGTGTGTGGAAAGAATTGGAGAGGAAAGAAAATAGAGATATGAGATATGAGAGAAAAGAGAAAGTTAGTAACATAAGAAAGAAAAAGAAGAGAAAGAAAAGAGGAGAAGAGAAAGAGAAGGGAAAAGAAGAGGAAAACCTAGAACTTCAAGAATCATCATCAAAGCTTTCGATTGATCGGGTAAGGGTGTGAAACTTTATTATTCTATCAATGTGTATGATCATGTATGCTTTTCTTGGATTGATTTTGGATTATTGGAGAGTTTTGCTCATTTTCCGTTTTAGGTCGAATTTGGATTAATCGATAAAAATCGTTGTTTAACGGTTAGAATCGTGTTTAGATGATGTAGATTAGTCAATATATGTTAGACTAAGGCTACTGGAAACAAGTTTGGATTTATCGGATGATTTTCATCGGGTGTTTGAATTCTGAACAGTGGGGAAAAATGGAAATCACAGACGCTCGCTAGCAGTTCGCTAGGCGAGCAGGCAGCGAATGCTCGCTAGCAGCTCGCTAGGCGAGTGCGTAGCGAACGGTCCCAGACTTGGGACAGAATGGTTTTGATGTTCTTCGCTGGCAGCGAAGGGAGTAGCGAGGAGCTCGCTGGAGGTTCGCTGTGGCGAACGGGGTAGCGAACGAAATCTGTAGCTTCTGTTCTTGCTCGCTAGCAGTTCGCTAGGCGAGCATGTGGCGAACGCTCGCTAGCAGCTCGTTAGGCGAGCGTGTAGCGAACGTGACATGTTGGTTTTTCCTGTTGTTTGTGTTGTTGTGGGTTCGGGGTTTCGGTTGGGATCGACCCTTCTTTGATTGAATAGCTTGTGTGATGATTTGTAGTGTGCTGTGGGTAGCCGTATGGCGTGAATCCTAGATTGTGAATTGTGGCCGTTTGGGCAAATATGTGCATTGTTTAAATTGATTTAAAATGCATGATAATGAGGTGAATGACTAATGTGTCGTGTAATATACATTGCGATGTATGATGATTGTATGAAATTGAATGAGGTGAAGATGCATGAAAACATTATGTGTATGTTTGTGCATTTCAAGAAGTGTATGTAGTCATGTTGCATGTGAAGCATCATGGTATGCATTCTTGTGTCGATTGATTCCGTAGGGAATCTGCAGAACCTCGTTTGCCCATGTGGGGTGT